TTTTTAGATCTAAGTTGATCGATTAGTATTTTTTATTACTGCTGTTCTCAGTCTACTTTTAGTTCTGTTAAATCTTTGTGTCGGTGATCCTCACCAAAATAGTCGATCAGTTTGACCTGGTGCGACGATCCTGCCCGATGTGGTTGAGGACACCCAAATGTGTGATTCCCGAGGGTGGGGTCTAGCTCCCGATGTCCCTTTTCGTGCATCAAGACCTTTGTCGGATGGGACTCCCTACCAAGTCCCCTTAGCCAGGTTCCCTAACCACAAGCAGTTAGGAAATATTATTCGAAATACGAAATGGAAAATATTTGGGAAATATTTTCTTCTCCGACTGTTGTTGACATTATAGATTTGTTCTGTCACATTTTGTCCTTTCTGCCTAGTTAGCAGCCACAAATCAAGCCCCAGTTGAAGGCGAATATTCCCCTATCAAGTTGAATTTTATTTGGTTTTGGGATAGGATTATGTCCATGTGATCATATCTATCGAGCTTTGATTTAATGGGGTATGGAGTCTTAGCTACACAACATCATGGGCTGAGACAGAAGTTCCGTGTTTTATTTCTTTTTTAGAGTTTTTTACCAAATAGACCTACTGACTCCTTATGTGTGTGTGTGTGTGTGTGTGGAAAGTGTATTGTTGTTAGTGATTAGATTGATGTGACAAATTTTTATCAACAGAAACTGCCTTCCCTTAATCCCTAAGTGTTTTTCTTTTCTTGCTCATGGTTATTCCCTTTGCTTCTGATTCCTCTCTTCTCTTTGTGGTACCTTTACCATTATTTTCTTCCTCTTGTCAATTGTCTCACTAAATTGATTGTTAAATTGATTGTTAAAATGGATGAGGCCAAAGTTCAGGTCAAGTTGGATGGGAATGTTGAAGTTGTGCTGTAGACCTAATAACATTATTTGGTGAATTTATGTTGTGCAAACTGGCATGATATGTAGATGCTTGATACGAATTTGACCTGACTTCAACTACTAGCAGGCTACATTTTCCAGACATGAACCAACATGTTAGGGTGTCAGTTCAAGTTAAGCAAGTCTAGATCGCATGGACCCTGTAACTGAATTTGGCTTTTTACTGTCATGGATTGCTAGTTGCAATTATCCTGATATTGTAACTCAACTATATATCCTAGTCCTTTCATACGTTTGCTAGAAATAATAACCAAAATTTTGTTTTGTACTTTATTTTTTCATCGTTAGTTCTTTATTCCAACTCTTTCTGATACAAATTCAGTTGACATATAATCCACTAGCCTGGATCCCCCAGTTTTATATCCATTGTTTTCTTCTTATGCATAAAGTCTCCTTGTTTTTTGTTATGTTATAAATCTTTGTGCCTGATTCAGTTCTGTGTATATAATGTGTCATGAAATAAATTATACACCTCTATTCATTTATGTGAATCAACCCAATTACTTTACTCATTTTATGTTTGCAATTTTCAAGGATGTCTCGCCGCTATGATAGCCGGACAACAATTTTCTCCCCTGAAGGTCGCCTCTACCAAGTGGAATATGCCATGGAGGCCATCGGCAATGCTGGGGCAGCTATCGGCATCCTAGCACGTGATGGTGTTATCCTAGTTGGTGAGAAGAAGGTCACCTCCAAACTCCTCCAGACGTCCCGATCAACTGAAAAGATGTACAAGATCGACGACCACCTTGCATGTGCTGTCGCTGGCATCATGTCTGATGCCAACATCCTAATCAATACTGCCCGAGTTCAGGCTCAGCGATACACCTTTGCTTACCAGGAGCCCATGCCTGTTGAGCAGCTGGTTCAATCCCTCTGCGACACGAAGCAGGGCTACACCCAGTTCGGTGGCCTCCGGCCTTTTGGGGTTTCCTTCCTTTTTGCAGGATGGGACAAGAACTATGGTTTCCAGCTATACATGAGTGATCCTAGTGGCAATTACAGCGGATGGAAGGCTGCAGCGATCGGTGCCAACAACCAGGCAGCACAGTCGATGCTGAAGCAAGACTACAAAGATGACTTCACAAGGGAGGAAGCGGTGCAGCTCGCACTCAAGGTGCTGAGCAAGACGATGGACAGCACAAGCCTTACATCCGAGAAGCTTGAACTAGCAGAAATTTTTGTCGAGCCTTCTGGGGATGTGAAGTATCAGGTTTGCAAGCCGGAGCTACTGGAGAAGTTGCTGGTGAAGCATGGGGTGACTCAAGCGGCTACGGAGTCCACTTAGGTTTGGGGTTTCCTGAGTCACTTTTATTGGCCCCTGGAGCATCTTTGATGGGAACTTACGCACAACTTAGCACCTGCAATCCAATGACAGTGCCCCCTTAGAACAGTTGTTGGATCAGGGTTCAAAAATTATGTTTTGAAATATAAATCTTTTTATTTAAAATGCAAATCATGTTTCTTTGTATGAACTTTTCAATTTGAATCCTTAGCTTGTTTATTTTTTTGGGGGTTGTAGCTTTGTCTTAAAATCATGTGCTCTGGTGTGACTGCGGATGACTCGATCAGATTTCATACTTAGTGTGAAGAAAGATATTGCTTTCTTCAAACACTTAGTGTGAAGACAGAGTTTGTAATAGTAGATTCACACCAAGTTATAATATATCTGAGTTCAAATGAGTGTTTTTGATAGAGGATAAGTGAAGCAGAGATGGGACACACACGAAAAAGAAGTTAAAAGACTTATTTGCCACTCGAGAATATCCCAATCGATAGACGACTCAGCCTTATCTCACACGTGCCAACGGCGCTCACTTGGAAAACCATCGGCCGGAACACGTCGCGCGCGCTCTCCTCTTCCCCGTCTGTCCGTCGGCAAGAGCGCAATGGCTCTCGCGAGCTGCTTCTCTCCTCCTTTTCGGCCTCCTCTCTGTGCCGGTGGCCGCTCGTTATCTCCCGTCGCCTGCGCTTGCGCACAGACCGTCACCACCGCTCCTGCTGCTCCTTCCCTCCCCAAAGCCCTACCGGCGATCCTGGACTCTAGGCTCATCGCGTGCCTCCGAGCTCGAGAGTACTTCCCGCCCCCATTTCGTCTCCCATTTTTTCGATATCTGACAATGAAGCTATCAATCAATGTAAGCTGTAATTTTGTATGACTTGTGAGCGCTCCTAGTATAATCTTCTAAGAGAATTGATTCAAAGCGTTCATTCTCGCGTATGTTATTGCACCGTCTTCGATGTCCTCGAAACGAACTAGATGCTTTTTACGTGTGTTCTTTTACCTTCTCTAATGCCTAGGAAATGAACTAGTTGCTTTTTGGAACCAATAGTTTCTCAGTTATCCGAACATGATAAGTTGATAATTACGTTTGAAGTCTTTAAGGATTCGTTAAGCTGTCTTAATCTGTGTACTTTTCTATGTTAGGTGGGTTATGTTTATAACCCACATGTTTAAAACAATATGTTATGTTTCTTAGTTTGATGATTATGATACTGTTTCATCACATTTTTAGGATAATATTCCTATTTTGGATTTTGCTAGAACTGCCTCTAACATTCTTCATATGCATGCTATTTAAATGCTTGAACTAAGATTACAAAAATGGTGAATATGGCTTATGCTTGAAAAATATTTTGTAGTGGAAATACCGCGATGGAAGCTGCTTGTGCTGCTCTTAGTGGTGGCATATCCGTTGTAAGTCCTATTCGGAAGTTGTTTTAGCTTTTCAAATGATATTTGAGTTTATTTGCCACCATTGTCTAATAAGACTTCCTTTCTAAAATGTGTAGCTAGAGATTGTGATGTCTACTCCAGGTGTGTTGGAGGTTGTTTCTTGTTCCTTAATGTGTGAAAATTCTTCTTGCCTTTTCTGATTAGACATATGTAAAGATACTCATGAATCTTTTCTATTAGGTGATAAGAGGACTTTTAAAGGATTATCCTTCATCGGTAATAGGGGTAAGTTAACAACAATTTTGAGTTGCTATACTGGCTTTCCGTCATTTTGCTGTATGCACAATGTTATTATGTTTCAAAACCTTTGGGTTTCCGAAAACATTCTTGACAAGGACAAGAATAAAATATCAGATGAGCTATTCTATAACCACAACAAAACTGTAACCAAAAGTATCTCATCAGAATATAAGGTAAAACTTAGGTGCCTGTATTTGTCCATGTTATCTCAGCTATATAAATATCTCAGCTTATGTTCATGTAATTATTGAAATGTCAATTTTATACCATCATAAATAATTGAAATGGGATGTGAACGTCTACTTGGTGGCAGTCTTTGTTATCGTCTAGTCTTACACACAGAAATCTGAATAAAACTGCTTTATTTTTTATTAATATCTTCGAGTAAACTGTATGACTATTGACTGAAAAATTATGCAATTATTTTTCAGCATCCTTTTGCTGCTTTAGATGATATCAATTTCTACATTTTATTTGATGTAGGTTGGTACTGTCTTAAATGCTGAGGATGCAAGAAAAGCTGTGAAAGCTGGAGCCCAGTTTCTCATGAGTCCTGGTACAGTCATGGTATGAGCCCATGTTTAATTCATATAGATTTGGTTTGTTTATATGTTAACTATACTTTCAGGTCTGTCGACTGTATTTTTTGTCTTTATAATTTCTTGCATTCCTTGATAAAGTAAATGAAGATATCATTAGTGATGCACTTTCCCTCTTGCACGGTGTTCTAGCTTACTCTTGTTTTTCCTGTTTGTCATGTTGATATTGTCATAGGGATTATGCTCTGAAAAAGTTCGAGCTTTGGCATCACCATAAGGTCCTTCCTATGTGACACTGGCGACTAGGATTTGAATTTTAGTAACAACCTCTCTGCTTGCAGAGGTAAAATTGAGTACCATGATCCTTCTCAGATTCTATGTTAGTGGTAGTCTCATGCACTAGACAGATCCTTTATTTGGTATTATTATTGATTCTGGTATTTTTGCTTGGTTAAACATTATAAAATATATATGATGATTTTTCTTACTTGATGAGTAAACTTTTTGAAGTATTTTATTTTATATTGTAATGTTATGCTCTATTCATTTTGTCCTACATTCTGATATTCAATCACCCAAAACCCCTGGTGTGACCAGAATTTGGTTTCAGATGTAGTGCAAATCCATATTCCTCAGATCAGTGTATAATACCATTAGTGTCTCTATGGTAGATATCGCACATTCATTGTTGCTTCTTTGTTTTAGGAGATATTACTAGATCTTCAAAACACTGATGTCTTATATATTCCAGGAGCGATGACGCCAACAGAAGTAAGTCTGTTTTTCCATTGCCCAAATATAATGAAATAAAATGCATTCTTTTAATTTTATCATTTTTACTATATTTTTTTATAGCAATATGATACCATATTTTCTTAAGCACGCATACTTGCTGTTTATTTAGCTTATTATTCATTCCAATTGTTTACTCAATTATTATGATGTATAGGTATTATCTGCATATAATGCTGGTGCAAGAATTATCAAGGTGACCTTCATAATCTTTTCATAGCTGTAAAATGATTATAACAACACTGAAACTAAAGAATAGTGTATGAATCTGTAGCAATTTTGTATGCTTATAGTTAAGAAATGAGTAATTTTTTGCAGTTATCATATTAATGGTAGTTATTGATTTGTCTACCTTGGTGATTATGTTGAATTTGTCATTTTATAAATAAAAGAACAAATATTTGCTTTTTTTTTTCTTTTACTTGGTGATAACCTATATGAGCAAAAGTGGGAAATAAAAACTGACTCGATATTGAGTTTATGTAACAAAAAACTTTTGGTAAATGTTTTGCTAGGGAAACTTTGCTTGCTCTCTTTTCTATATAGGCAATTACTGCCAGCTGTCTTTTGTCTCTACTTCATTACCTACTAACCTGAAACCATGGTTTGCCTTACTGATCCATACTAGTATATTGACTAGCTATCGGTATAGTACGCATCGAGTTGTACTGAGCCATATTGAGTATACTGGCACATGGTACTTGGGGGTGCACAAATATACTGCCCGTACCGATCCCCCGTTAGACCGATATGTACTGTTTATAGTATACTAAGTGGTATTCCACGGTATGGTAAACCTTACCTGAAAGGCTGAAACCACTATTGAACTTATAAGAAAGCATAAGGTCCTTCCTTTTATCGTGGCATCAATAGTTCCAACCCTTTTTGTGGAACCCTCTATGAGTTACCTTGCTTAATGAGGTCATTCAATAAAAGCAGAGCTATATTAGTACCAAATTACCAATAGTGTTTTATTTGCTGGTACATTGGCAAATCATATTGGAATATCTGATAGTTTCATGCTGTATCATGTTGCATGGAGAAAGAATCTGCTGTACTTTTCAAAATCTTAAAAGGAGATATTTAATGGTCACTTTTTAGTTTTTTTTTTCTTTTCTAGATTTATCCAGTTTCGGTCTTAGGTGGATGCGATTATATAAAAGCACTTAAAAAACCATTCCCCCATATTCCAATGGTTGCTTCGCAAGGCACCACGACAGGTTAGCTATCTCAACTACACAAACTTCTTCAATATTTTTTTTTTACATTAGTTAACATTTTACTCTCATTATGTTTGCTGTCTTCTTAACTTTTTTGTACCAAGGCACATCATAACTAGCTGCACTGAATCACATGTTTCATCTGTAATAGATATTTCAACAACTTATTCAGACCCAAAATATTACTGAATGTATAATACATTGTTACGGAAGATGTGTCACAACTTAGTGTGCACCACATAGCAGTCAAGAATTGTGCATCCAAGGTTCTTTGGCTTAATTTTCGAGGACTGCTTATGTTTTGTCTCTTCTTTCCATTTCCTTTGCTGCTTATGCTCTTTCCATAGGTGTGGAAGATACACGGGAGTCATGTCACTGTGTCACTGAGATTGCTGCACATTGAGGTGCTCCTCTGAAGTTGTTTCAAACTTTATCCCCAAAGTACGATCAATAGGTTTCTGCAGAGGTTCCACCCTTTTTTGTATAGACAACATTAGAGGGGTAATCCTAGGTGGGTATTCGGTGGAGAAAAAAAAATCTTAACAAGAGGAAACAAATAAAGATTTTAATTTTAATCACATTAGTTGATCAAAAAAGCATCTTTTTTTTAGATATATTTATATATATGTATATAAATATAAGTTATATTTATATACATGTAAAAAAAAGCCCTTTTTGAGATATATTTATATATATGTATATGTTAATTCCAGCAAAAAAGCATCTTTTATCCTTGAAGCATTTTATATATAAGTTAAATTGAATTAGTTGATCAAGCCTTTGCTCTGGAGATTATACAGTTAATATATTGACTATCATTCATTTGCAATCTTTTCTTTGGATCATGGTATGCTATTTGAGCTATTCCATGTGAACTAAAGATGCTTCTCGCATAAGCTTTATAAATGCGCTATTGTTAATGTAGTCAAAGAAAAGGCACAATTTGTAAATGCCTTTCTTCCCATTTGTAAATTTATAGTCCTTGATATTTGATAATATCATCGTTACCATTCTATATGTTCTAAATGTTACAGACATTTGTAAATTTATAACCAAAGATTCTAAATGTTACAGACTTATACAAATGCTCCCTTCTAAATTGAGACATACTTCAGCTGAATTTCGGACAAAATGGCACCTATAAAATCATTGGTCTTGCTTATTATGAATCTTTTTAATGGGGCTTTATATGACACCAACAAACTGACTATTCTCATTAAATTTGACTTGCACAATTTTACTATTATCTTTTTGGTGAAAAAGGCACCTATTTGGTCATTCATGCTGTAAACACTTGTTTTGTGTAGTATGAACTTACTAGTTATATGATAGTATTCTTCCAAGGAGACTGATCCTCAATATAAGTCTAGCATATTCATCACTTGTTGCTACAATGTTCAAACTTGGCGCATGTCAAAAAATAATATTATTTCCAGCCTTCGACGTCTTCGCCGAACGCCGCAGATGAGGAGAAGACCGCGTTCTTCTCCTCGTATGACGTGACGAGGAGAAGAAAAGGAAGCGACGTTGCCGAGGCAACGT